CTCCAGGGGCTCATTAAGGTTCACCTGCAGTGATCTGTGGTACCTTTTGGTTTCAAGAGGTGGTGATCAGTTTTATACAGGGAAAGACAAACCAGCCATGTGACCTGAACTTTGGGCTGTCCCAGGCCCATACACATCCACTGGTGGATTCCTCTTTCCAGGCTTTTATTAAGTAGCTGATGACCCCTGCTTGATTATGGGGTTACAAAGAAGAAAAATGACACAGGCCTGCTTTTAAGGAGTTGCTAGTCTCCTGGGGTAGGAGGAGGGATAATGGCATATAAATAGATAACTGTAATATAGAATAAAGTTCAGTGAGCTCAAAGAAAAACAAGGTGAAACAAGAAATGTTTAGAAGGGAGAAAACAAGTTCAGTGGAGAAGAAATAGCAGAATCTCCCCCTCCTCCTACTCCTAGCACATCTTTAAAGTGTTTGTTGATTAATTCATGGAAGAAGTAGCCTCTGAGATGAATCTTGAAGGATAAGAAGGTTTTCAATAGGCAGAGAGATGGAGGGCCACAAGATATGGGGGATGGAAGGGGCGGGATGAGGTCAGGAAACAACTAATCCACTTTACCTGAAAAACAGAGTATGTGAATGAGGAAAACAGTCCATGAAAGAAAGCTAGAAAAATACACTGGAGCCAGATTATGGAGGGTCTTATGTGCCTGACTGAGGCTACAGGGAGCCACCGAAGAGTCCTAAGGAAGAATGTTTTGGTAGCTGTATATTTGGTATTTGGTTGACAGATTGAAAGTAGACAGTGGAGGTGTGGAGACCAGTTAGAAGGGTAGTCAAGGAAGAATTGAACTAGAAGGTGGCAGAGAGGGCTGGGATGTGTCATCTTGTCCTTACTCAAGGTCAGAAGTGCTGATTAGGTTGGTCATCAACTTTGACTGAAGTCATCAGGCCTATCTTCACTTGAAAAGGCACCTTAAAAATAAACTTGTCTACTATCTTGATTTTGTATTGAAATCTAAGTAGAGATGCAAATAATACACTTCCAGAGGGCAAAAGCTTCACCCCACAGGGGTTAATTCCCTTAGCTTTGATGCCCTGCCGTGGGGCTGAGATGTCCTGGCTGTTGCTTGAATGAGGGAAAACTCACATAATCTATTACTTCTAGCCAGCCCCAAATCATGCTTTGCATCCCACCTAGCCATAATCAGGAGACCAGGGCCTCTCCAACTTGGAACATCTATCCTGTCCCATTCGTAACCATGTTTTCCCTACCTGAACCACTAATTTTTACCCCAAGTTCTGGAAACAGCAATAAAATCAATGCCACCAAAGCTCCTAGAAAGGGTGTGCCAATCCACTGCCCTGTGACTCCTCAGACCCAAATCCCCTTTTTTATTCCTATTCCCCATTACGTGTTGTCTCCTTCTATTAGGATGTAAGCTCCTAGAGAGCAGGAATCTTTTCATTTTTCTATTCCTGGTATCTAATCCAGAGCTCGGCACATAGAAGGAGCTTACATAATGTTTTCATTCATTCACTCACAAAACACTTAGTATAGTGCTTGTCACACAGTAGGTGCTTAATGCTTATTAATTAATTAATTAATGCTTATTCTCTTCGAATCCTGGCTCTGCCATGTGACTAGAGTTTCTTCATCTATTAAATCAGAGGTTCCCAAACTTACTCAGCCTGCCACCCCCTTTTTAAAAAAAATTACTCAGTGACCCCCAGAAATCTACTTTCTTTAATTCTTTGATGTTTTTTTTGAATTTGTGCCACTTCAAAAAAATATAAAACATATACATTTTTAAAATGATATATCTTAAATTTGATAATGTATTGTAAATTTGTATATTTTTTTTCCTGCACTGAAATTTTGATGACTCAGGATAGTATCATGTAACCGATAGCATCATATTGTAAACAAGTCATTACAGGTGCATATTACTGCCTGGACTTCCTGACAATGCACGACACACTCTCCTGCCAACACCTGCTTGTTAAGACCTGTCAGTGGACTTGAGCACTGATTGGTTATAACTTGCATTTTTTGTGTTTATTTGGAAAATAATGTAATCACTATGACTTTAACTCTTGTTACACAATAGATGAAACATGTATGAATAGTTTTTCAAAATTTTCTTATCTTCTCTTCTTTCGTTATGCTTCTACCGCCCCCTTATTTTTATTCATTGCCTTTCAATTGCATCCAAAGCTACCACCACCCCCTTGGACTGTTCCAGCACCCTCCAAGGGGTGGCATTGCCCGCTTTGGGAACCTATGGATTAAATGAAAGGGTTGGATTTGATGGCCTGTGAGTTTCCTTCTGTCTCTAAGACCTATGACCTTAAAATTCACAACAATTAGTATGATGCATAGAAGGTGAAAATGGACCTAACTACCTCTCTGACAGCTCTATGGAAAAAGAACTATAAAATAATGAAAATAAAATAATTAAAATATGTATAGTCCTTGAAGATTTGTAAAGCACTTTACATGTGTTATCTCATCTGGTCTTCAAAACAGCTCTGTGACGTCAGTGCTTTGATTATCCCCATTTTACAGGTGAGGAAACTGAGGCTAAAAGAAATTAAAGGACTTTCTCAGGATCACACAGCTAACAAGTGTCTGAGGCAGGACTCAAACTCAGGTTTTTATGATTCCAAGTCCAGCAACCTAGCTGTGTCAGGGATAATGAATTGACGAGAGGGGGGAAATGTGTGGGAAAGAACAGATGGTATTGTTATTGTGTGCTGGGAGCCACGCACACACCCTGGAAGCACATGCAGCGTATATGGCTGCAGGAAGAACCAACAAACAATGGAACAGTAGGCTCCCAGCAGAAGCTACATCCATTTCAGAAGTAAGAATGGCAAAGGCACTTACTTATCAAAGACCAGAGAGAAGCATGCCAATTCACTCTGAATACAAAGTACCAGCTTCTCTCCACTGCAGATTGCCAGCCCAGCCAAGAAAAGCCAACAGTAGTAAAATTTTGTTGCCCACAATCTGACCTTAATCTGGAGTGACAGTTCTGGCCTTGAAGCTCTTATTTTGGGGGCGAAGCAGGGAAGCTGTGGGGACATGCTGATGAAAGTCTACGTAAGGCTGATGTTCCTGGGATTGTGGCCAGCTGGGATAATCCAAGAGTCCTGTTCTTTATGAAGAATATGAGTCGATGTCCTTTTTGACACTCAAACTTGGGTAAGGCACTCCCTCCTTTGGGTTCAGCTATGGGCAGCAGGGAGGACCCCGGGATCCAGCCTGAGTAGGTCATATTACTAAAGGAAGCGAACGAGGAGGAACTGTGACTCCAGACTGGGCTAATGCACCTTGGGAAATGAAATGTATTTTTGGAGTTCTCCCCATCTCTGCTTTCAAGAAGTTGAACCCAGGGAAGAAAGATGTACACAGTCATTAGCATCTACCGCAAAAAGCCTTGGTTTCAATAACAAATGTAAGAACTGGGCCAGTGATTTCATTATTACAGAGAACTGCCAAGTAAGGAAACTCTCTACCAATACAAGTTGTCATTTTCTCTGCAATTTAGAATCTTAGAGCCCAGAGCACAAGAAGTTAAATGACTTAGCCAGTACATAGCCAGTATGTGTCAGGAGCAGGACTTGAATCCAGGTCCTCAAAGCCAGCTATCTAGCCAATATACCAGGCTGCCACTTAGTTCTGCCAAGAATGTGGTAGGTGAATGTGTAGTTCTACCCTAGAATGACATTTCTTAAGTACAAGCTGAGAGAGACTGGGTTAGAGGGAAACAGCCAGTTATTTGCTGAGCAATTTAGGAAGGCTTTATCCCTTCCTTCCTTAATCTTTTTTTTTTCCATCTAAACTATTCATTCAATCAATCATTCAATAACTATATATTGAACATTTACCACATTGTATGAAGGACTAAGATGTCAGAATATGTTAAAATAAAGCTGTAAAGTTTTGCTTGACTGGTTTTGGAGAAAGGATATTCCAAAATCAAGTCATAATGAGGAGAAAGTTCAGATTCAGAGGTGTGAGAGCACCTCTTTAAATAGAAGACTTTCCAAAGAATGGGGATTGCTATAGTGACAGGAGGAGAAGACAGGAGTGAGGGAGTCAATGATACTTTTTAATCCATGATTCCAAATTTATATGAATCAATTGACAAGTATTCATTAAATGCCTACTATGGGGCAGGCACTGTGCTGGGCACTGGGGATAGAAATACGAAGAATGAAACAATCCCTCTTCCACAGTGAGCTTACGTGCTAATGAGTGAAACAACAAAGGTATATAACATATGTAAATCACAATATAAAGTTAACAAATTATATGTACATATACATGTACATATACATGTATGTATTATATATATTTATGTGTATATATATATATATATATATATATATATATATATATATGTACATATGATTTAAAGTATTGGGAAGGATAGCAGTAGTAGTTAGGGGAGAAGTCAGGAAAGGTTTTATGCAGAATATAGTACTTTGGCTGCATCCTAAAGGGAGACAGGGATTCTGACATAAAAGTAACGAGGATGTGGATTCTAGACATGAGGAAGTCTAGTACAGAGGTATGGAGACAAGAGATGAAGTGCGTTTTTTTTTTGTGAGAAAGAGAGGTCAGTTGGATTTGATTGCAGACCATGGGAGAGGGAGCAATGTCCAGTGATGCTCAAAAGATGGATTTTGAAACTGAGGCCAGGAAAATCCAGGTTTATATTTAATATTTTTTAATAGTCAATTAGTATGGAATGCAATGTAGAATCACAGAGCCTTGGGCCTGAAAGGGACCTTATAGATAATCCAGTCCAAACCTCTGCATTTTACATATGAGCAAACTAAAGAGAAATGAGTTGTTCATGATCACATAGCAGAGCCAGGAATAGAATACATGTCTCTCGATGTTTTCTCCAGGAACATTTCTACCATACAACTGTGGTCAGGCTCGTGACTTCCAGGAGATGCTACTGTACTTGGATTTAACATTGAAAATGCGTCTTACACAAACTGTTATTTTCTTTTCTGATAATAGATTTGGTTCTACACAAATAGTATCTTTTCTACTGCTGGGATACCTACAGAGAAGATTCCATATATAACTCTGAGTACTGGTGGCATTGAGACTTTGGCTTCCATCTTTTCAGTAAGTATGTTGCTGGCTACAGCTATGTAATGAAAAACCATCTTACAGAGCTCAACAAAACAAGTTTTTCTCAGAACATATAAAGAAAAAAAATTACTGTATTCTGTCAAGGTGTTCTTTTCATACTGAAGAGACCTTGCATTTTAGAAGATTTCTAAGGTTTACCTTAGAATCGACAAGAACAATTTTTCTATCATTTACCTTCATTTTGGGAAAATAATTTCTTATGTATCATTATAGAGCCTAATGGATTCCTCCTATTGATAAATTCCACATTTTTTTTTTTGCTATTTCTTTTACTGTTTTTCTCCACCTACCTCTTGTTCTCAGTATAAACTATATGCAAGTTAAGCAAATGCTGGGCTATAGAGTAGATGCCAAGTCAGCTTTTGTCCATCTTGGGGAGTCTTTTCCTGCACAATTCTCTTAATCACCCTGAAGGAAAACCTCAGAGTCATCTGGGCTTCCTCCATCTCACTCCACATCCAGTCAGTTGCCAAGTTATATCTATCCTACCTCTATAAGAGAGGGGTTTTCACCTTTTGTGTTTCATGGACTACAGCCTATGAACCCCTATGAATGATTTGTTGGGGCAGCTAGGTGGCACAGTGGACAGACCACCAGCCTGGAATTCAGGTTCATATTTGAACCTGAGTTCAAATATGGCCTCAGATACATAACTCTTACTAGCTGGGTGATGTTGGACAAGTGACTTAACCCCATTGCCTAGCCCACAAAAAAAAAAGAATGATTTATTGCCTGCATTTATAACTAAAAGAAATACTAAATTTCACTTCAAAGTTAGTGAAAATTAAATGTGTATTTTTCCCGTCCAAATTCGTGGGTCCCTTAACTATATCAATGGACGCTTTGAATCCCAGGTTAAGAACTCCTGCTCCATCTCTTACCTTCACTTCCTTCCTCCCCTCCCTGCCCTTGCCACACTTGTCAGCTGGCTCATTGTTTCTCATCTGAGGTATTGCAACAGACTCTTCCCTCCTTTCCAGCATTCTATCCCCTGTTACATCCAACTGGTTTTAATAGAGCTAGGCTAGGGGTTCCCAAATATTTTCAGTCCTCCACACCCCACTGGCTTTCAGTTAGCCTTCCTGTACTCCTTAGTCAATATAAGAGGTTTTTGTGCACAACCCATAAGAAATTAAAGAGATTTTTTTATTAAAAAAACTTTATTTGATATATAACATTTTCCCAATGTCATAAGGTTGTTAAATGTTTATCTGAACATAGTCAAATAATGTAGTGCGACCATTGATTGTGTTTCTTTTCAACCTATAGCTTTACTTCAATATAGTTTTTATTTAATTATTTTATTTTTTTCCTAATTACACATAAAAACAATTTAAACTTTCATTTTTTACAACTTCAAGTTCCAAATTTTCTCCCACCCTTCCTCCCCTCTCCTCTCATTGAGAAGGCAAGCAATTTGATAAAGGTTACACATATGTAGTCATGCAAAACATATTTTCATATTAGTCATGTTGTGAAAGAAGATACAGACCAAAAAAAAAAACAACAACAAGAAAAATAAAGAGTGAAAAAAGAGCATGCTTCAATCTGCATTCAGATTCCATCAGTTCTTTCCCTGGAGGTGGCTAGCATTTTTTATCATATGTCCTTCAGAATTGTCTTGGATCTCTATATTGCTGAGAGTAGCTAAGTCATTCAGAGTTGATCGTTATACAATTCAATATAGTTCTTGAAAGAGATATTGGCATTTCATTTTCTACCTCCTTTTTGTTTTTTCCCCTTCTGGCTTTGATTGAGAACTGTATTGGGAATCCTGATTCACAGATGAAAGTTGTTATCAGTAGAATGAAAGTTTGGTGAGTATGTTTCACAAGAAAGGGACAGACTTCTCCAATGGTACACCAGACTTTTTCTAATTTCATTGATTGGAAATCAATTAGGAGTTTCTGGTTATTGCAGAGATAGATTAGCATTCCCCGATTCCTTGTTGCTGATACTTTCTAGATCATTATGAAAAGGATGTGATATCCCAATCTCATTCATTTGATTTCAGTCAGTAGGAATTATTTATCTGATTGTCTCAAAATTTTCAGATGTTCTGTAGTATTCCTTCCATTTTTAGCCCTGCTACCATTTCTCACCATATTTTTCTCCAAATGCACCATAAATGCTGCTCGTTTTAGAATCTATAGTAGGATAAGATAAGTATATACCAAATAGCCCCCATAACCTTTTTGCAAGCTTCTTATGCTCCCTTGGAGTTTGAGAACCCCTGAGCTAGACAGAAATTAGCTTTAACTGTCACACTGAAGGGCCTCACAGACAAATGTGAGATCCCAGGGCATCACCAGTTGTCTTCACTTTTGTCTTGCTGCTGGACTTCAGTTACTCTGTAAGAGAGAGTGAAGCTGACTACTGTGCAAACCTGCCTCACTTAAATTTACTCTACAAGTCAAGACATCAGTCTTGTGATATCATTGCTCTTCTTCATCATCAACGATGTACACACACACGTGTGTGTATACATATCTGTATCTATATCTACATATATATTTGCCATAGTCCCCTATGCCCCCCTTTGCATTGAAGTCACTAAGTATCAATGTCATCCTTGTAGTAGCTGATAATAGCAGTTATAATAATGGCTTATAGCCCTCTAAGGTAAGTACTTTCCCAACATGAGGCAGAGAGTACAAATGTTATTATCTCCATTTTGCAGATAGGAATGTTGAGTCTCAGAGAAGTTAAATGAGTTGTCCATTGTCACATAGTTAGTCAATGTCAGTGGTGAGATGTGAACTTAGTTCTTCTCACTCCAAGTGTTGTACCAGACAACTTCCCGCTAAGCGGTAAGAAGGTTCTAAACTATGGAGCCCTCTAACAGCATAGCCATCAGTTCCCAAACTTCACTGTGACTATCCGTGTGGCCTACCCTTCTCTGCTCCCCATACTTTCAACTCAAGGTGAGGATATGCAAGTCCAAGAATTCCAGAGTTAGAAGAGATTACATACATCTCTCTGTGCAAACTTTTTTAAAATGGGTTAAGCGACTAAAATTAGAATGCCGCCAAACCAAATCGTACTCAACTCAGAAAAGAACCTTCTTACTTATTCTAATTACATTCCAACTTCAAGTTAAGATCTTTTCTGTTCAGCTTTCCAGCAGTATTAACTGCTATAGAAAGATTAAGGTGAATGAGAATTTTAAGAAAACCATCAGATTTTGTGTTAACACATAACCTATGAAACACTAAAAAGTTCTTAATATGGAGTCCGTGAACTTGTTTATTTTACTATTTTGATAAAGATAATTCAATATAATTGGTTTCCTTTGTATGTATATATTTATTATTATTAGCATATGCATTTAAAAATGTTATTTTAAGAAAGGGCCAATGGGTTTTCAGACTACCAAAGGGGTCCATTATACAAAAAAATGTTTAAAACCTCTGAATTAAACAACAAGGTACAAAAGAATTAGAGAATGGTATAAGATACAACTAAATACACAAGAGAACAGGGTATAGTGAAAAGAGTGGGTGTCATGGAGTCAAAGGACCTGGGTTCAAATCCTTACTCTGATAGTTATTAGCTATGATCCCAAGTAAGCCTCTTAGCCAAGGTTCATGCAAACATATTCTGCTTTCCCAATTCCTGATTTCAACTTCTCATGATTCTTCTTTACCTCTTTCATATTATAAGAGTTATAAGGGAATTCAATGGCCAGCTAGCCCAACCCCTATGTGGTGGAAATAAATCTTCTCTACAACATACCTAAACGTTATCCATCCAGTTTTTCTTTTAGTACTCTTGTATGGGGGAACCAATAATGTCCTGAGGCAACCCACTTTTGGATAGTTCTAGTTGTTAGGATTTCCCCCCTCTTAAAACAAGGCTATACTTGCCTCATTACAACTTCCATTCATTTCTCCTAAATTTGCCTTCTGGCCCACTGACCAAGGCGTGGGATCTGTTTTATTTGATTATTGACTTTCTGCTACCCAATATGGAACATGACAAAAGGCTGACATGTTTTATCAACAGCTGGGGTTATCCAAGAACCTCAGAGAGAAAGTGTTTGTCATCCCATTTACTAGTTATGTGAGCTCAGGCAAGTACACTTTTTTTTTTAAACATGTATGCATCACTAATTTTATTTTTTCAATTAACAAGCATTATTTTTCCTTCCTTCTACCTCCCCACTCACTGGAAAAAAAATAAGGAAAAACAAAATCTTTGTAATAAAAATATAATCAAACAAAAAGAAATTCTTGTATTAACTATATCTGAAATTGTGTCTCATTCTTTACCCTCAGCCCATCACCTCTCTGGTAACATTCTTGATGGGTCACATTCTTGATCGTTGGCCCTCTGAAATCACTATTAGTCTTTATATTAACCAGATTTCTTAGGTATTTCAAGGTTGCTCATATTTTCAATGTTTTTTCTAGAATAAACTGTTCTCCTAGTTCTGCTTCTTGCCCTCTGTATCAGTCCATATAAGTCTTCTTAAGTTTTCCTGAAACTATCCCTTTTATCATTTCTTACAATGCAACGATATTCCATTATAGTCATACATTGTAATTTGTTCTTCTGTTCCCTGATTGATGGACATCCCTTTAGTTTCCAGTTCTTAAATGGCAGGTATCTTGAGACTTTCCTGGGCCTTAATTTCTGTATTTATAAAATGAGGAGGTGGATTCAGCTCTAGGTTCTATGCTCATTAAACAGAAGACCTCCATAGGATACAGTCAGGCCTGAAAGTCAGTAAACCAGAATCATTTGTTGAACATTGAATTTGTCCAAAAGTATCACATGAAGCCTTATAGGAATTTCTGGGGAACAGGAGATTCAGACTGTGTGTGGCTAAGAGATCACTGTTTACCATCTAATAGAACAGAAGGATCCCTCAGGGAAAAAGAAATAACTGTGACTTCTCTGCCTTGGCACATAAATACCTTCATTCTAGAGGATCCGGTGATTAAGTTTGAAGAGCTGGAACTTATGTCTCA